TGACAGGCTCCACACTAGAGCCTGTTAAAGGACTTGAGTCACCATGGGGATGGGGAGAATGTGCAGTGACAATGGGAACTGGCTTAGAGATAAGAAATACAGAGTAAGGATAAATAAGCTTTTCTCTGGAGGGAAAAGTGTTAACAGTCAGGCCCCTGGGGAAGAGGGGGAATTGAGATCCTGGGCTCAGGTAAACTGGCCCTTAGTTAGGTGACCATCAAGCCCTTTGCTTTCATGAGCTCTGTGTGGAAATGGGCCATGTTGCCCTATAGTCTAGATTCACACATTGCCTTGTTGACTTTGTTCATCTTTGTGCCTTGTCTAGTGATGTTGTGAGGTCCTGACAGGCCGGGGACTTGTCTGTTACTTTGATATTCCTTATAGTGACTACAAGTATTTTGTGACTTGATCAGATGAGTGAAGAGTGAGTGATCACTGAAATCCCCTGGCTTGCAAATAATTGAAAGCTCTTCCGTTAAGGGAAATACCAACAGAAGCCTAAGATGCAGGGAGATAGATGCAAGGGCTCTGAGTAGCTGAAGGTTCATCATGGGGAAGGGGAGGTTGACTGAATTGAAAAATACTTTTTTTTTTTTTAAAGAATTTTTTTCCTTTTTTTATTTTTTAATTTTTTTTATACAGAACTGGGGTACAGACCAGAGATGCGGAGGGTGAGAGAATTCACCAGGGGCAGAGTGGGAAGCAGAACAGGCAGATCGATGAAGTGCACTGCTGAGGGGAGCAGCGGGCGGGTCAGGAGAGGTCTGCCTCGCCATGTGGTCGCCTCCAGGGGCAGGCAGGGATCGAACTCATGCGGAAGTGGCTTACGCTTCTTAGTGCAGTGCTTTAACCCGCTGTGCCACCAGGGAGGGCCTGAAAAATACTTTTACTATGAACAGCACAGAGCATGTCCAACTGTATATACCAGTTTAGAAATAGTATAAATTGCACTTTTGAGGGTAACAGTGTCAAAGCTCTCAGTGACAGCCCAAAAAAGGGTTTTAGTCCAGTGCTTCTTAATCTGTTTTTAATTATTGCTTCTCTACACTCCCCTCCCTGCCCAGGACCTTTGTTGGGTACTTTCCCCCTATTGCCACCACCCATATGGAATTTTAACAACATGGACATGCTGTATATTACTTATGCACTGTGGCAATTCAGAGGGCCACAGGCCTTGTGATATGTATGATTATTTTTTTAAATCTCTGAGAACCAGATTGTTATCCTGGGGGTGGGGGCGGGTGAAGGAGGCCTGCTGAGGTGCAGCTGGAGACGGCTCCCTCAAGGTTTGGGCCCTGTGTGTTATTCATGCAAACAGAACAAATTTTAAGTATCTAAGAATGGAACTGGGCCTCAAACGAAAGGTCTTTTCTTGGCCTCTCCTCAAGATAAGCAAAGGCTGGGCAGGGTGGGGTGCTTGCCTCTCCCTTTCTCCACCCTGCTCTCTTAAAGGCCAGACAATTACAGCCCCCACATCCACCTACTGACTTCCAGGTAGCTTTGCCCAAAGAAGAACAAGGGAGGGGATGAGGGAGGGAGGGAAGGGAGGGAAGGGAAAGAGGAGAGAGTATATGTTCTACTGGTTCTGTCCTTGTGAGGCCACCCTGTTTGACTCTGTCCTTTTGTCTCCACTCCTTCTGGGCTCTCTTCTGGGTGTCAGATCTGACTCTGTTTGGGTAGCAACAGTGAGAGCTTTACTGCTGCTAACCCTGGGGGTTCCCCTGTACCTTTTGTAAATACACCTCATGTTTGTTGTGCTGTTTCCAGTTGTTGGGACCCCAATGAAAGAGAGGGAGAGGTTCTTCTCAGGAGGGCCCTGAGGAGAGACATTCTGCAGCTGGAATGAGGCCAGCAGAGGGTAGGTGGAGGATGTAAAGCTGGGTAAAATGGGGCAGGACAAAGAATCAGTCTTGAAGAAAGGAGTTTGAAAGGGGTCTTAATTGGAACTATGGAATGGATGAGAAAATGATCTTCCCTTAAACACGATCACCCTTATACAAGTCCATCTCCTTCACATAGTTGGGGCTGATGTTGTTCTTTCTCTACCCAAGGAGGCTGGGATTTAAAGAGATGTAGACAGGAGAAATAAAAATTTGGAGGTCCTTACAAAGGGACTGTGGCGGACAATATCACCCTTGTGGGATAATGCCAGAAATGGACCTGTTCTTCTCAAGTTGCCTTTGGGCTCCCTATCAAAGGCAGGGTGTGGGTTTGGGAACGTTTCCCCAGGGAAGTGGCGGATACGAAGGGATCATTGATCTTTTGGGTTCAAGGGGACTCTGTGCTCCTCTGAGACAGTGGGTGGAGGGGAAGGAACATAGGCTTCTGGAAGCAATAGCTTAGGCCTGAAGCCAGCTCTTCACCTCTCCCGGCCATTTCCTATCTCAGAGTCGCCAAGGGATTAAATGAGAATGTGCACATAAAGGCAGCTAGGCCCTTCCTCCTCACAGATTGAGTAGTCTCATGCTCAAATCTTCAGTTCTCTTCTCAGCAGTCCCCCTGGGAGCAGGGGGCAACCAAGCTTTACATGCTTCCCACTCAGAAGTCACAGAGCAAAAGCAGAAAGCCATTGTCATGGATGAAGGGTGGGTGGGCACATTACCCTGAGGCCCCCTAATCCCATTTTCTGCTTTCATGTTAATCCTCTTCCTCCTTCTGTCTGCCACACACTCAACTCCCAGGGCTCTTGACCCGGAGAGCTGAGCTCCACCTCCTCTGGAGGATGGCAGTGCTCCCTGTTGTGGGGTTGGAGGCGATGTGTGGGTACAGTCTGGCTGTGGTGTCATTGGGCTGTTCATCCAGGCCAGGCCTTGGGTGAACTTTGAGGGCTCCATGTGCTCATGGCAGGATCAATGAGAGTGTCAGTCAGTATTTCCATCCACTGATGCTGCAATAGGCAAAGACCTTTACCATGTAATTTCATTTATTCCCATGACAGGCCTGTGAAGCCGATAGTAATAATCTGAAATTTGCAGTTGAAGAGATGGAGTTGTCATGGCCCAGCTCACACTGTGAGCAAAAAGCAGGGTTCACCAGCATTCTTCTGGAGACTCTGAGGAATCAGGAGCAATGCTGATTCTTGTGCTGCTTCCTATTTCTTCAACGCGGGAAAGGGCCCACTTCCAACTTCCTCCTCTGGCATCCATCACCTGAGGCTTCATTTGGGTGAGTGTCTGTCTTCCATCTACTAGCTCTGGGTATCACATGCGATGATATGGACTGGAAAGAACCCAGACTTTGGGAAGGCACAGGATAGTCCTGGCTCCTATCAGGAGCCGATAAGATATACCCAGAAGGCAAAGTTTCCCAGGCAAACAGGTGGCTACATGCAAATGCCATCTGGGGGAGCAATGATTTTTACCTCAGGCTTTTTTACTCACTCTCCCCTTCCTTTCGGGTTATCCATCACCTCTCTATTCCTGGTTGCTAATGTCCTTCTTTCTCTACTCTGCATGGCTAAGTTGGTCACTTTTGTCCCCAGAAATAGGTTCTAAGGGAAGGCTCACTCACTGAGGACGAAGCTATTTACTATTGCCACCTGTGGGTGAATCTAAAGTTTCATGACCTTTGAACTTTCATTTTTGTTTGTTATAACTCAAGGAAAGAAGGGCTTCTTTAGCATAGATTCCTCTTGTTGCAGTTCTCCTTTCTGGGCCAGACTTGAAAGTTAAGGCTGGAAATGAATGCTTACTAAGTCCCCCAGCAGCTGTGACCTGGCTGTTTTCAGGTCTGTAAAATTGGAAAGATAATCCTATCTCCTTAAAGCCAGAGCCTGTTCTTCTTCATGGGCCAGTGAATCCCTTATCTAGAAACTTCTAGAAGCCTAGTAGTGTAGGGTTCATCTTTAGCCTTCTCTTTTCCCGAGTCACATGACTGGTGCCCTGTCAGACTCTCTACTGACTGTAATCAGGGTCTTTGTTATTCTGAACTTCACAGACCCTGCAGACTTTCCTGTCCTAGCTCAGTGGCACTCCTCAGACCCAGCTTAGTAAAGTGCTTCAAGGCCCCAGACTAGCTGGCAGGAAAATAAAAAAGGCATGGCAAACTAACTCTTCAAGGGATGGCGGCAGGCCTTATAGTGCGAGTTCTGCTGGGGAAAGAGGTTTAGCAGCTGATGCCTTGGAGGGGGGTGGACTGAGGATGAGTACGGGCTGCATCATTGTGTGAGGTTCTGGGGGTCTGTGACCCTTCACAATCATGAAGCCCAAGTAGCCGGCCACAAGAAGAGGAGTTGGAGATTTGAGTTTGGTGGTGAGGCAACTTGAGTGTGCAAGCAGTGTCCATGATGAGGACTCCAGAGCTAATGCCAGTTCTGAGTTCTACACCCATTATTATGGGAACATGTTACATGAGAAATTGTGCTACTGAGAAGAAATCCTGTTCTGAGTAAAGCCTTCAAAGGTTTGTGACCTTTGTGAATACTCATGAGGGAGAATAGTGTACAGGAGAGAGGATGTGGCATTTCAAGTCAGAAGCCTTACGTCCATGTTGGGGCTGTCTGGCTCCAGTGTGACTCTAAGGTCTGAGGTCTTTGTCTTTACACTGGGCTTCCATACACTTGGCCTTCCCCTGCTAGCTTCTCCCTCCCAAAACCCAGGAGGAGGGGTGCTGGTCCTTCTGTAGACTACCTCTCTCTCCACTCTCTGAAAGGTTCTGGGAAAGAGAAGAGGCCACTACCTTGTGAGATAATGGGCAGGGCCAGACTGGAGTTTGCCGAGTCCCCTGAGGTGGTTGACAGCCTGCCATTAGGACATCATTCCTTTGGGTTAGGCTGGTGTGTGTTAAAATGCAAACCTCCTTGGGGGAAGAAGGAGTCTCGCATGTCTTCTGTCAAAACAGGTGGGCACCATGGGAGCAGGGCATGAAAACATGTATTACCAATTTCAGGGTTTGTCATGGAGATTTCACTTCCTCAAAGGTCATCCCCCATGACACCCTATCTTCCCAAGTATATATAAAAGATATTACTGAGGATGAATCAGTCTCAAAAGCCGTGGCTTGGGAAGTCTTTGCTGTGAAAACATTATTTTATTAATTGATTGATTTTATTTCTTCATCTTTTTTTTTTTTTTTACAAAAATAAACATTTAATGAACAAGAAGTACAAAAGCTTCTGGATATACAAACTCCGGGAGCAGGGAGAGGCTGGTTTTGGCTGTTTTGTGGCTTTCACTGAAAGCAAATGAGGCAGAAAGGCCCCGGCCCCCCCCCCCCCCCCCCGGGTCTTGGCCCAAATGGCAACCTGCTCCTCGACCCCATGACTTGGCTCATACCATATGTGCTCCTCTGCCCCCACCCTGGCTGGCCCGTAAGCTCCCTGTCAGGTGGCCAGTGGGCGCCCCCCCCAGGTACAGAGAATCACCCGCATCCTGGAGCATGTCATGCCAAGTCTTCGGTCCAGAGCTTGGCTAAGAGAACGCTCCGTGACAGATTGTCCCCACGCAGCCCCACCTGGCTGAGGCACGTGCAGCAGCAGCAAGGGCTTTGGCTACATTCTCACACATCAACACAGTGATGGGGCTGCCCACGGAACTGTCCCTGGAGGGCGGAGACCCCAGTGTGGAGACCAGCCTGAGCCTTGCACGCAGCCCAGAGGGTTACAGAGTCTGTCAGTCCCCTGTGATTCCTGGCCCTGGAGCCAGCAGTTCCATACCTAGCTGGGTAAACTCACATTTTAACATTTGGCATTATTGCACATTGTCCTGGTCACCTCACTCTGTCTGGGATGTCAGCCTTGTCAGCAGGGGTTCCCAGGCACATGCAGTGCTGCTAGTGCAAGTCACTCCCTCCATGGGCAAGCGGTAGGGGTGGTCAGCTGCTCAGCCGGACCCTCAGAGTCAGCCAGAGGCCCTCACATACGTAGTCTTGTTGGGATCAGGTTCCACGTGGCTCCATCCTGTCTTGAAAAAGACCAGCTGCCGACCTGAGGGCAGAGGTGAAAGGTGAGAGGACAGACTGGAGGGTTCTCTCCCAGGAGGCAGAGCTACTCTCCTTCATGTGACTGCCTTGAAGTAGCAGATCCTTGTCTTCTTATCATCTTTGGCATCTGATGGGGTCACTACTTGTCAGTCTCTTCAGGGGATGTCCATGCACCTCCCTCAGGATGTCCTTCCCCACTGGCTCACCTGTCCAAGTGGTCTGGTTGGTGACCACGAAGGCCCGGCACTGAGTGTGGCTCTCACAGACGTCCATGGCTTCAGCCAGGTTGAACACAGACAGGAGGCAGCCTCCATGGTGGTAGGATGGCCAGCAGCGGTAGTCCTCCCTCGGGATGGTGCTGTCTGGGAGGCTCTGGTACTCTGTGGATGGGGGATGGAGCTGAGTGAGAACTCTGTGTGGCCAGGCAGGAGGGCATGGGGCTACTTCCGGAAAAGGGCAGGGAGACTCATTTCCAAGGTAAAAGCTGAAGTTCACCCCCTCCACCACCCATGGAGAAGGCGGCAGCTACCATTATGAAACTGGGCTGGTCACTCAGTCCAGGGTCAGACGTGATTTTGGGGAGACATATGTCCTCCAAACCTAAGGGCACACAAGCTGGCCCAGGCAGCATCTAATGGTAGAAAAGTATAAATGCACAGACAGCAGCTGCGGAGGCTGGGCTGGGCATTTTTGATATGTAAAGCTGGGCTTCTCAAACTTCAGTGTGAATGTGGAGCTCCAGGGCATCTTGTTGCAATGCATAATCTGTCAGAATGGCTGAAGTAAGGCCTGGGAATTGACATCTCTAACCAGCATACACTCGGAGTAGCAACAATTTAGAGCACCCAAGTCTCGCTTGCTTCTTCCTGGCCTTAGGGAGAGGTTAGGCAAGCTCCTCAGATAGGAAGGCAGTAAGGGTTTTTTTTTTTTTAGTCAAGAGGCATGCAAATGAATGTAAAATACAAAAATTACCATTTTGGAATACACAGCTTTGATGTTTGGGGAAGGGCTGAAGGAAGAATCTGAAATCTCCCATTACATAGACGGGGCCCTGAAACTGCCCTCCACCCCCCCAACCCCTCATATGGAATCTGCTCAGCTGTAGGCTGCTTGTTCACCCCAGCCTTTCCCGCTGCCTGGGGAGCCCCAGCTCTGACTGATAATGCAAAGGCTTGGGCCTCTGGCCACCCGCCCTCCTGCCTCCTTCTCCTACTAGGGACTAGACCAAAGTCCAGGGCAGGCTGTGATTTATAGCCCCATAAACGGCATCCTCAGGGACAGGGCCAGCCATTGTTCACCTCGTTAAACTTTATTTACAGGGCTAACGAGGGCTCCCCCACCCCTAAGACTGGCCAGAGCTCCTTGAATATGGAGGTTGCCCACCCTCTGCCCCCTGCCAACTATGACCAGACCCCAGGGCCTCTACCCATAATTAGTGGTTGGAATTTTCCCCTTGCTCTGGGACGTCTTGACTGGTTTTAGAAGTCAAGCTCTGTTCCACCTGTGGCTGCCCCTTTCGCCCCAGAAGTGTAGAGGAAGGAAAGAAGAAGCAAACATATATTGTATTCCAGTTGCTTAACAGGGACTGAACTAACTGTTTTCACACTTTACTTGGCATATAATCCCCTTAAGAATTTTATGAGGCCTGTAATATTGAGCCCAATTCACAGATGAGGAAAAGGAAACTCAAAGTATAAGTAATTTGTTCAGTGTCACACAGTCAGGACGAATGGGATTTGGAATAATCCAGAGGATGAGGATGAGTGTCCACCATACCCACTCCCCAGTTCAAGGAAGAATTATAGTTGTTCTAGCTCAGCTAGAGATGGGCTCTCAAAGTGAAGACTACACATTCAGGGGTCTCTGCATTACTCCAACTGAGCCTTAGAGGGATGAGTCACTCAGCCTCTGAGCTCCTGTTGCTGCTCCCTGGGAGCCCAGCCCCTGGATCCATGCCAGGGCCACTCACCTGCTCTGCTGCCTGCTGTGGTGTTCTGCAGATACTGCCCACTCCGGTACAGGTGCAGCACCTTCTCCAGCTGGGCCAGGGTCTCGTCCACTCCCCAGGCGAGCTCTCCTGCAGAGTGCAGAGTGGCAGCGAGTGGGCAAGGGCCTCAACTCCCTCCTGAAGTCTGCAGCCAGCTGCCTCTTCCTCCTGAGCCCAGCCCAGATGGACTGGGGTGAAGGTTTGAGACAGAATGCCACCTTGGGAAGTGATGATTTCTGGACCATGGGTTGACATGGGTCATTCTTGACCCCATGCCTCCTGGGCAAGAAGCAGAGTAATGGGAAACAGATGGGTCCTGAGGAGCTCACCTGTGGCATTGACAATGCTGTCCAGTAGAGGCCGTAGTGAGGACGGGGCACTGTGAGGCAGGAGGTATGTGAAGAAAAACCTGCTCAACAGGGAAAAGCCAGGGGCTCAGTGGTTCAGTGTTTGGGGATAATCTTCCTCTACTCCAACTTGGCAACCCAACAGGCATATCTGGCGAGTACGCCACAGTCTCCTCAGGCTTAGGGTCTGGAACCAGGCATATTCTAAGGCCACAACTAATCACACCAAATTGAAATTTGTCTGTTAACTGTCTACCCCCAGGACTTCTCTACCCTTTACTCCACATAATCCTCCTGGCTGTCCAGTGTCAGACCAGCCCCTGGTGAAGAGCTTCTAGAAGTCAAGGGCTAGGGTGGGAAGAGGCCATGCCAGTCCCATTCCTACTGGCCAGAGGCTCTGAGTCTAACACTATTTTAAGAAGCTTCCAACTGCCACCCAGATTCTCTTTGAACCTGACTATTTTTAGCTTCTTCGTCAGGAGCCTGAATGTTCCTTTCTTGACTGGGTGGAAGGCTTTCCCCGCCCCTGCTCCTCCATTGGTTAAGGGTGAGTCTCCCTGCCCTGGCTGGCCTCCCAGACTCCATCTTGGCTCTCTCCCTGCCAGGCCCTGCTGGGCCCAGTCTCCCTTTCGGGGCTTCCTCAGCAGAGGTGGAGATCACCTGTAAGCATTGTAGAGATTGCGCTTCTCATTCATGCCCTCACACCAGCCGTGGACTGAGCAGGGCAGGGTGAAGTTCCTGGCTGGAAACTCCAGGACACAGGCTGTGCTGCTTGCACACGGCGTCTCCTCCACGCGTGCATCATCCAGATCTGTCACCTTTAGCTCCCCGTCCACCAGCACAAATTGTCGGGGGCGGAAGTCCAGCAGAGTGACGGAGCCCAGCGGGGAATGGGCCAGGTGGTGGAGGAGGCGGCCCAGGCTCAGGCAGATCTGAGGAGCAGACACAGGCTGCTTACTGCTTCTCTCCTGGGTGGGAGTCTGGGAGACTCCAGGATTCCCTCCTTTGGGGTTCTAGACTTTGCTTGGGGGTTAGCCTTTTTCTTAAAAGGCCCAGTGCTCACTAAGGGCTGAGGCCAGAGGCCTTACAGAGGAAGCCAGTGACTTTCTATTAACCCTGGGCTCACCTGACCCTGAAAGTAACATCCAGTGAGAAATGGGAAGCAGGGCAATCTGAGGCTAAGAAGTGCCCTGAAGTTGCAGCTCTGAGTGCAGTGTACAGCGCCCTCCTGCAGCAAGCTGAATGCATGTATGTGTGCTTATGAGAGGGAAGCAGGAGCACGGAATGTTAGGATCCTTTATGTCTTGCTTTTTTTTTTTTTTTTTCTAACTCTTGGCTGATGGCTGAGTTAGCTTTGCTCTGTCCTTCCCTCCCTCACCCTTCACTGAGTAGAGCTGTTCTGCAGGACTGGCCTTCTAAGGCAGAACCATCCCTACAAGGAGCCAACACCTCCTCCCTGCTCACTCGGAATCTATCCTCCCAGGAAGTCTGCAGCAGCTGGATCATTTCCACAGGGGCGCCCAACTCCGTGATGGTGGTCAGGGTGTCCGGGATGTCCTCGCTGTCCTGGTAGCAGTAGCCATAGAGCTGGGGGAGGTCCAAGAAAGGTCATTAGGTCACAGGGTGGGGGTTGGGACAGAGGAGGGCTGGGCTGTGACATGCCCCCTCCCTCTTTCCCCAGCCATTCCTAGGCCTTGGCTTTAGCTCAGACCAGAAGAATCAGCAGTGTAGCCTCTGTCCCTGCAGCTAGAGCTTCTACTGTTGTTACAGGAGCACCCTACTTCTTACCACTCAGGTAAAGGGGCAGTCTGGCCACCATGTGTAAACCACCTGCAGGCACTACTTTGTATACACAATTCAATTCTTATACACTTTAAGAATTAGGTACAATTACCTCCAATTTGTAGGTGAAGAAACCACCTCAGAAAGGTTAAGGTACCTGCCGCTAATAAATGCAGGCGCTAGAAATCATAGAAATCATTGCTCTGATTGCACAGCCTGGTTCTTTTGAAAAATACCATGTGTGAATTGACAAGTTAGCAAATGTTTATTATTTCTCCTCCCTTGCTCCAGTCCTCCTCTACTGCACTTTCTGCAGCTTCAGTTTTTCTCTGTTCAGGTGGGAGGAAAAGCAAGCTCCCTCAGGATTGGTAACAAGTGTTAAGGATAAGTAAGGAAGGGGCAAATCCTAGGCTGACTTTGCATCTATCCCTGGGGGTGGTTGTATGGGACGGCTGCCAGGGGATATCCGTTCTTTGGGGTCATAGTCACAAAGGACTGCCCACTCCTTAAGACCTGGGGGAGGGGCTCAGTACAGTCCAGCTGGTCAGGGGCTTCTAGTACAGCCTTACTTTGTCACTAACACCTAAAGCAGCATCTACAGAAAGCCCTGCTTCTCCTTGCCTTTAGCCTCTCCACCTCCCCCCACCCCCACCCCTGCAGCTCATCAGCTAGGGGTCAGATGGTGCTCAAAGCCGCTGGCGCTGGGTGGGGCAGGAGCACAGAAGTTGGTGCAGTTCTCCAGGCCGGCTTAGGAAGAGCTGCTGGGTGAAGCCCAGCGGGGATACAAACTCATGGGCTAGACATCACTGCATACTGTCACCTTTTATGCCATCATTCACACCCTTAAAGCTTCTCTCCAGACCCTCACATACTTGCTTTCATCCATGAGTGCTCTTTCAGCCCCCCTTCTCTGGAGCTATTTCCCCAGTGTCTTCTGAGCAGAGTGAAGGTGCTGCTCAGGGTCAGTCATCAAACTAGGACTGCAACATGGGGGACGGGATAGTCTCAGGTGCCCTCTTATTCCCACTCTCTCCACCCTCCACCCCATCCTGCCCCTGCATCAGCCCAGGGAGGCCCCAGACCCTGGTGGGGCGGGGGAAGGTAAGGGGAGCAGCCCTAGGGCCTGGTTCTCATTTTCTTGCCCAGAGTCTGAGCCTTTGTGGGAAACTTCTGAAGGTTATTAAACACCCGGAGGTCGTTAAATGCGCTGTTAACGAGGTATTAATCAACACCCCTCAGGAAAAAATAAAAAGACACCATTAACCCCCCCAGGAAGCATGAGGCTGAGCATTTCAGTCGCATCTTTTGTTCGTTTGGAAGAAGAAATATACTCTAGCAGGGCCAGAATCTGGGCCTAAGCAGACCAGGGCCCCAACTGAGGCCTCAGGCCCTGGGACTACAGAGAAGGGAGGGAGGGAAGACCCTCATGCCCTTTGACCCTAGGCTACAGAGGCATCTATCATGTGAGTGAGCTGGTGTGAGAGAGGGAGAGGGATGGGTTGGGGATGACTGGATTGGATAGAGAGGTCTCCCCCAGGCAGTCCCGGGAGACCAGAGAAAGGCAGGGGAGGTGTGCAGTGGGGCATGCTCTCTGGGCATTTTCTATTAGAATCCAGAGCACTAAGTCTGAGTGGGTAGGGAGACTCTGGTGGCCCGCAGGAGCAGAAACTCTAAGAATCATTATCTGGCTGTCCCCCAGCTTACTGAACAGTCAAGGGAGGGGGGTGGGTTGAAATTTTAAATGATTAAAAGGTATTAGAACAATATTAATTCCATTTCCCTTTACATCCACCTAAAGACTCCAAAGCAGGAAGACCCTACTGCACAGGCTTCTCTGGCAGCAGATGTAGCCTGGTTGAAGAAGCCAGAGGGATACTGTCTGGGGGTCGGAAATAAAAGGGGAAGACCACCCCTAAAGCAGTCCCTAAACTCATACTGAGGGATCCCTTCCTCCCCCAATGGTACTTTTTCACTGTTCCCCTCAACAGAAAGAACCTGCGTTCCTGCCCACCTTAGTAACCCTGTGCCCTAGGCAAGTGACCAGTCTCCGATGCTGTAGGAGTCACAGCCAACCCCAGACAGACCCAGCCTAGGTGTAGTAAGGGAATGGCTGAAAACTATGCCGATGAAGTGTTTTTTGTTTTGTTTTGTTTTTTCCCCCTTCGGAGCCTTCAGAATTGGGGTTGGGGGCCAGACATTAAAGTGAAAGACTAATCTATGGTATGTGTGATGTTGGTTAGCTAGATACTTGCAGGAAGTTGGGTGGGGTGAGTGAGTGAGAGGTTCCTTAAGCGACAGGAAAGCATATCAAACCTCAAATCTGTCCCAAGGGAGGTGGGGGTCTTGAGTCAATTAACATGTAATGTCCTGCTAAGTCACACAAAACCTTCTCTACCACCTCACAATCTGGATGATTCCCCAGGGTTTCCAAAAGTTCCCAAGAGCAAAGAGGAAACAAGCAAACAAGATCCTCCCAGTTATAATGGCCACGTAACCAGCCATTCACTCCCCAAAGCTCCGGACAGAGTCAGCTGCACTACGGGGGCATAACCACCCAAGAGTTTTGATTATGTCCCAGTTCCTGCAACTAGTTCAGGGCCCAGGACCTGGTTCCAAGTATTTGACCAGGAGACTGGGAGCCAACAGGATGAAAGCTCTCTCTGTTTCCTATCCGGCAATGCCCACCCTAGGCCTGGTGTCCCTCATTTCACTCTAAGGAAGAAGAATTGGGTTTCTGGTCAGTTCTGCCAGGTGTAAAATGGTTAAACTCCATGGGTTAGGAGGTGGAAGGCATGAACATGTTTCCTCTGCTGGGGGTATGCACACGCCCTATGTTCACTGGGCCAAAAGCCATCAGGGACTCCCCTCAGTCTGCTCAGACATGTGCAAAGGGAATGGTTTGACTAATTCTAGGGTCAACTCAAGGATGGAGACCTGGGAGAGAAAAGGAACTGTGTATCAAGAGGCCAACTCTCTCAGTCTAGCCCAAAGGGGACAAGGTGGGGCCTCATCTCTTTCTGAGAGGCAGAGTGCTATTTAATAGAAACCTGGGCATTTGGTTTTCTCAACCTCCCAACTTCTTGGCCACATTCGCTAAGAAAATGTGATATCCAGATCCTCAGACCCTTAGCCAGTTCTCCCCAGAAGTGAGCAAAGACCCTGAGTTTTCCCCAAGTGGTTCAAGGACCCACTCTAAGGTCTAGAGCAGTTGATTCTGAGAGAAGCTCTGCATTTTCTGGCCTACTACCCCAACCTCTTGAGTCTTTCCAGAGGCTTCTGGGTGGCTCAGGGAGTTGGGGCATTTTCTGAGAATCAAGCCTGACGTAGGATCTCTCTCTAGCTCGTCACTGCCTCACCCTACCTTCAAAAACAAACTAGTAACTGTTTACAAGTTGAGAGAATGAGGTTCAGCTTCCACCAAGAAAGGGGGTCTCTATGACTGCAGTTAGGGTCTTGGCTCAGGGACTTCGCCCTGCCTCACTATGGTTATTTCGCTGGTGCCCGACACTGACACTTTGGTTCCAGCCAGAAGTAGGATTCTCATTCTTAACAGACCCCTGGCCTGAGTTTTGGGTCCCTTTGTCCTGTCTGTCTTCAAGGGCTATAGTGTGGAAGCTGTAAAGGGATGCGAGAGACAGGGTCTTATATTGGGAAGGACTAGGGTTCCCACTTTGCTTAACATGGGCTCTGCCACTGGGGATCCGTTTCTTTATAACAGCAAAGGTTCTCTTTCGTCCAGAATAACCCAGCTTGGGCACCTACTGCCAGCACCCTCACCTCCCGCACCCTCGCCCTGGTACCTGCAGCACGTTGGGGTGCCGCAGCCGCTCCAGCAGCACCATCTCCTTGAGCAGCTTGTGGGCCGCCAGCCGATAGCAGCCCCTCCGTGCCCCGAACTCGCGCACGCAGCTGCCCAGATCGTGGCCGCTGAAGTCCACCGCCTTGAGTGCCACCGCGGCGCCGCCGGGCAGGCGGACCCGGTATACGGCCTTGGTGTAGCCAGAGCCCACGTACTGTGCGGCGGACACGTTGCGGAGTGCCGCGCAGCCCAGGCGCGGGCCCCGGCCGGGGGAGCCG